GATTATTTTTTCGATATCTATGCGAAAAAATACTACGCACTGCCATAGGACTTATAGTTTTACGTTTATCGATTTTTGACCATATATAGGATAAAAATATAAGGAAAAAACGAAAGCCAAATCGGTCAAAGGGATTGGGTCTACTTTGTATATCTCAAAAAAATAAGCAAGTTTAAAAAAGAATCGCCCCCAAAAGATGCTCGAGGAAAAATCTACGGCCACTTGAAGTTTCACGAAATGTGACTTTAAAGGAGTACTAGTGTGAAAATTTGAACTTCAAACGGACATAAAACGCGCATCTGATGTCCGATCGAGGCGATTTTTTTCCAACCTGATTTTTTTTTTGATATCTACGCGAAAAAATACCACGCATTTCCATAGGACTTATAATTTTACATTTATCAATTTTTGACCATATATAGGGCAAAATTATAAGAAAAAATGAAAGTCAAATCGGTCAAAGTTTATAGGGCACTAATTTCTCAGTCTGGAAATATTTGAGCTGTTTGTGCATGAATGTATTGCTTTCCTTGTGATGTTCTTCTCAAACATAAAATCAGAAGAGGAACAAACGAGTGTGGCAAGAAGAAGTGCTTTAGACAAAAACCTGAACTTGATGTCTGTGATATGTGATTCTTCAAGTAAACACTAATTAGGATTCAAGTTTCTGAAGATTTGTCTTGGTTCTAATTCAATCATTTGTTTTTCTTTCTTATGCTAATGTCTCTTTGGGTATTTGAACAATCTGACTGTTTGTATTCAGGGACATTGTGGTTCTTGTTGGGCTTTTGGTGCTGCTGAGTCGTTGTCTGATTGTTTCTGTGTTCATTTTGGCTGGTTAAATTCATTCCTTCATGCAAAAACTTGCAAGTTTATTCTAGTTATGGTAGCTAGTTATTCAATTTTTATGTGTGAGGTAGAATATCTGTGTCAGCAAATGATATCGTAGCGTGCTGTGGTCACTGAAGAGGTCATACTATTTTGTTTTATACACTTATTGTACTTTTGAGAAAATACATCTTTTTATATATTGTAGTATTTGAGATTTCTTTTACTGTTTACGATAAGAATGATTGAGGAAGAGAGTGAAGTTCTGATCCTGACTTTTTTGGTATTATATGATATGAATCCCAAGCAACAATTTCAGTCGAATGATCTGCTTTAATGCAGCTAGATGTCATTGTTTAAATGCACTGATTTCTCAGTCTGGAAATATTTGAGCCGTTTGTGCATGAATGTATTGCTTGCCTTATGATGTTCTTCTCAAACATAAAATCAGAAGAGGATCAAACCTGAACGTGGAACGTGGAACGTGGTTTGAAGAAGAAGTGGTTGCAGGAATGCCTTCAGCCAAAAACCTGAACGTGGAACTTGATGTCTGTGATGCTTTCCTCGACGCTTCAATGTGATTGCTGATTCTTCAAGTAAACACTAATTAGGATTCAAGTTTCTGAAGATTTGGGGAATAATAACATTTTAAAGCTTCATATTCTTCCCCTCCTAAGTTATCCGCCAATCTTAATAAGTACTCTGTCAATCTTGACAAAGTTAAAACATTAGTATCATATATCGTATACTACTTCTCCATTTCTGTATTGAAAGTGTTACTACTCCTCACTCCAATTCAATAAGAGTTCTTCCCTATTTATCTTTGATAGTGTATGGGCACTTCCTTACATCCCTTAACTTTTTGTTTTTGTGTGGAGATATGTTGGCTGCAATAATTGAACTTTATTCCTGTTGAACGCTGCATGTCCACCTGTAAGCCTACTTTTTGCATCAGGAGGCTTATGTAGTTTTCGGTACCTATCACCTTCAGTTTAAAATCCTGATCTATGTTATGTGTCCTTCATTCGCCTTGATGTACCCATGCCAAACGGGTGCAACTTGGATATGGGTCCTTTGTATAGTCATATAGTTCTTTCTGGAATTAAGATGAGATATGTGAGCATTCCAAAGTCACTTATGATAATACAGTGGATGAACTCAACTTTCTACTAAATGAGAGAGCTACTTACTAATTTCATTTGGATTATAAAAATGTTACTAACTAACAGTTGTATCCTGCACAAGTATTACAACTCCCTTGATAGTATTGGGAAAATATTATGCCTTCTTCCCACTCATTTTTCTAAGCTAAATTTTCTTCTCCTTCTTCCCAGAAACTTATTCACAAGTGCGCTTTCGTTATGTTGGGAAAGGAACATTAATTCTTCCATCTCTTTCTCTTAAACACACCGCACAATTAATTCTATTATTTTGGTGAACCTACCTACACATAATGAAATTATAATAATGTCTTTAGACTAAAGATTAGACTTGAACTACTCAATCAAAAAAAAAAAAACAAATGGTAGTATTCTTATTTTTTCTGTATCATAGAATTCAAGCCCTCCTGAGATCATAGCTGGAGCAATGGTGTCCTTATTAATTCTCATTTGTTGTTGCTTCGACTGGAAACAAGATACCAAAGGAAGAAGGTGATGCTACTTCATTCATTTATTATGTTCTCTGCGATTTCTTGAAAAATTTCCACTTCATGTGAAGTCATTTCAACTTTTTAACTGTTCTCTTTTTCTATAAATGTACAGAATCAAGAGGACTAGATGTTGTGCTGAACGGAATTACCTGCAAGAAGTGTACGAGTACAGGGAGAACAATAGCCTGGCTCATGTTTTATTTAGTAATTTACATGAGAAAGTAGATAATGGTGAGGCTGCACCAGCATCTCCAAGAACCTTATGAAAGATCGCGTTTGTATATATTACAGTTGATTAGACACATAACAGAGACACAGGTATTTATTTCACCTCTCTATTTCTAAACTATACACATTTCTTAGGGTTTCTGGAGCAGCACTTCAGATGCAAAGAGAGAATATTGTGGTTCAAGGTGAGAGCGACATCATCCTAGGAAGTGGAGAAACTTGTAACCCCTTCAGTCCGCAACAGGACAAACAAGGATGCATGGGAAAACCCCTAGAGAATTATTCAGGCAAGAGCACAAGTCATTACTGAAAGAAGGGGAAAGGTGGATAAAAGACACTTCAAATTCATGTATGATTGTTGCAACTTTGATTGTCACGACCGTGTTTGCTGCTGTCTTCACTGCATCTTTGTCATATCAGATGCAGTGGCACTATTCACCTCAATCGTTTCCATCAATGCTATTTGAGATTGGTAATAATTTACTTCAGTGTATAGTACCCTATGCTCTAAAACAAGTTTCTCTCTGCAGGGCAAAAGATCATAGTATGCAAGTGTAAGCCACTCACAAAATCTGGCATCATGACACTAATCCGTAAAATACAATTGTCTTCCGATCCATATATCCAGTGGTATTCAGCCTGCAATGTTTGTAGAATCAACATAGAGGTGATCTGCAACATCCTAGTGACGAAGAAATGAAGATAGAGGATTAGTATTTACAGAACCTGTTTCAGAGAAGCATAATGAATTAGGTTTTACAGGCTACAAGACTCTTTTGTCTGTGCCAAAAGTGTCAACTCGAAGTTTCTATTACTTCTGGGCCAGTTGTGGCGACGTTGCATTTAATTAATGACCATCATTTTTTTGTTCCATACATACAGTATGACATTAACAGCGATTTTCATAACATAGATGAAGAGCACTATTGTATTTTGAGGCAATAAAACATTGGTCCTAAAAATGATGTTTTTTGAACGTCAAAAATAACAAGACACAACATTGTACAAGTATTTTGAGCCTTATTTGCGTACTAAGCAGATTCAACAATATTGGTTGGGGTATCGAAGTGGATGTCTTGTGCATTCCAAAAAGACTGCAACTCATGTTCATTTTCTTTTCGACTCTCCACACTTGTTAATGTAATCACTTCACTGAAATAGCCATAAGTTTGAGAGTTTTTTTGATCTTGACTCTGAACTGTTTTGACCAACCCTAAAAAATATATATTAATTAACAAGATGAGATTATATCGCATTGACATATTGATGATAATTTGGAGAATAAAAGAAAGAAAACATGCCTATCATTGTTTGGATCAATTTCTTTTCCATATGATTGGTATCTTGAACTTGGACCTTTCATTCCTACTGCTAAACCAAAATGACTAAAACAAAATATTTACTTACATCTGAGAATTGATGTTTGAAAATATCTATTAAAAATAGTAATTGGAAAATATATATATATATATATATATATATATATATATATATATATATATATATATATATATATTTTTGAAGTAGAAAAAGGAAAATAAACCTTGTATTTTGTGGAAATTCATTATCCAAGGAACTCAAAATTCATTTTGCTGACCAACCATCAACTTAGACTTGATGGAGTGATTTTGTAATTTCTTACTAGTACTATTTTTGCATCCCATGAAATATATATAATATAATGAATAGTCATCAATGGTAATCGCATAAGTTATTTTCGAAGAATTCTTATCCATGTAACCCTTTGGAGCTTTATTACAAAATTATAATCAATGATGTATAAACACAAATATTGTAGTTCTTAATTTTATATGAAGTTTTCCATTATAGTGATTACTTGTCATTTTAATTTATGTACATTCCATATTTGGATGATTTTTTTTGTACTAAAATAGGAAAAATAACTAATAATTACTTAGTAGAACTTGACTGGATATGACAAAACTCCAACGAACACTTCTCTGTATGCAAAGTAACATTTTTTCTAAATAAGTGAGAATTCTAAATGATATTCTGTAAATATTAAACACCAAAATCACTTAGTAGGATTTGACTAGATATGACAAAAATTCAATCGATACCTATTTGTATTTCAAAATTATGTCGAGCAACTTCTTTTCTCGAATAAGTGATGATAGTAAAATTTGAGTATTTTTTAGAAATATAATTTTTAAATTATACAGATTTGGAAAAAAACTGAATACTATATTAAATTTATTATTTAAAATTTTATATAGCTCATGATAGAAATATCGATGTAACAAAGAAAAAATTATGAGCTCGAAAAAAATTGTGGCGTTAATGTGATTTTTCATGTCATGTGCATTGCCAAATTGATCTGATAACAATGTCATAGTTAACTCAGTTCTGTAATAAATGGATGTCAACGAGAAATATCTATTTTAACTTTTCACACTCAATAAAACATTCGAGAATAAGTAGCTTAGCTGGCTGATTACCTCAACTTTCACCTTAATTTTTCACACTCAATAAAACACAACGGACTAATTCTACCTAGCGGAGACTATTGAAAAACTGGAGTCTGATCTTTTTGAGTGTTGAAAGAGCATCTTCCATGCTAATTCTTGCATCAGGTGTCACTACAGTGCAACTCAAAGCTAATTTCATGATAGATGAAAAACACTGCATCTTTGCATCGATTTGTTCATTCCCTGGCCGTATCAAATTGGAATCCACCACCTTATGAATACCACTCGGAAAAGAATCATTAATCCAACATCGTATATTCATTTCTCCGGTAAATATTTCATCACTTGGTCGCCTTCTTGTGAACATCTCCATTATCACGATGCCAAAACTATAAACATCACAGCTGGTGGAGACTATTCCGTCTTGTCCATATTCTGCAATCGTGGCAAAAGATAATTACAAAAATACTTTCTGGTTACCGATGAACATGCTAAACTGAGTACTAATCTATAATTACGATACCTGGAGCAATATATCCAATGGTTGCTATTGTCCTTGTTTGAACAAAATCCTCCCCTGCACCTAACAATTTTGCAATGCCAAAGTCGCTAACATGACCAACCATTTCGTTATCTAGCAACACGTTGCTTGGCTTCAAGTCACAATGCACCACAGGTGTTGAATAGCCATTGTGGAGATAGTCTATTGCGGATGCAACATCTATCATTATACTTAATCTCTGCAACATGTCTAAGAAAAAGTTGTGATTGTATAGCCATTTGTCAAGTGTTCCATTCGGCATGTATTCTAATACCAAGGCTTTGAAGTCAGGGTTGGAGCAGCTGGTGATCACTTTTGTAAGATTTCGATGGCGGAGGTTGCGCAACATCTCACATTCTGTATCAAAGCTTTTGAATGCACCCTCCAATTGCACATTGAATACCTTTGCTGCTAAAAGAGTTCCATCCTTAAGTATCCCTTTGAAAACCTTGCTGAAACTCCCGCTACCAAGCAAGTTGCTTTCATCGAATCCTTCTGTTGCTTGTTCAAGTTCATAGTAAGAAATTCTTTCATGTTTCCCTTTTAGCAGAAAGACATCTGCTTGATCTACATTCTTCTTTATCTTTCTCCATCTTAAAAATACATATGTGAGGGCTAATGAGAGAAATAGCATACCCACTCCCAAAAGGATGTACAAAACCAAGATTATCTTTTTTCTCTTTGACCTCTTGGGAGATTTGATGACGCATGGTGAAACACGAAACTTAGAATCACCACAGAGTCCATAATTGGACAAGAAAGATTGACCTGTGGCGTTTGCAAAAGGACCACCAGTGGGAATCGCTCCACTGAGTTCATTAAATGAGAAGTTCAAGTATTTGACATACACGAGAGCTTCTAATGACTTTGGAATTTCACCACTAAGATTGTTATTGGTCAAATCCAAGAATTCTAAGGCCAGCATTTTGCCAAATGAATCTGGAATAGGCCCATCTAATTTATTATGTGCTAGAGAAAGACTAAGCATTCTATCCAGACCCCCTAGTGTGTTAGGAATCTTACCACTAAAATCATTTTTTGACAGATCAACGAGCGTCACAACTTTTAAATTTCCAATCTCCAAAGGAATTTCCCCACTTAATAAATTGGACGAAATATTGAATTCTATGAGATCTTGAAGACTCCACAAGCTTGAAGGTAAGGTCCAATTCAGTCTATTGTTAGATAGATAAAGATACCTCAAACTGGTAATGTTCCCTAAGCACGGCGGTATGGAACCAGAAGCTAGATTTTCTGACAAATCTAATGCTCCAAGATCATATAAATTGCACATAACATCTGGTATGGTTCCTTTTATCTTGTTGCCCCCTAAGCTAAGTTCTTGAAGTTTTTTCAAGCCTTGGATGGTTTTTGGAATATGTCCTATCAACTCATTTTGTGACAAATCCATCTTTATCATACCTGTAAGATTGCCAATTTCTCCAGGAATGAATCCTTTCAGTTTACAATACCATCCTTGGAAAATTTGCAGAGAATCAGACAAATTCCCAATGGAGGCAGGCAAAAAACCGTCCAAGGGATTCTCCGCAAAAGTGATTTCTTTCAGTTTCCTACAGTTTGTCAAAGATGTCAAGAAGCTCAATGCTAAATTGCTGACAAAATTATTCGCCCCCAAGTTCAAGACCTCAATGTTTTCTAAGTCACTAACTGATTCAGGAATTGGGCCTGTGAAACTGTTATATGAGAGTTCAAGAACTCTGAGTCTTGAAGCATTTGAGATAGAAGCAGGGAGCAAACCACTCAAAGTATTCTGATAACAATAGAATCCGTCTAGGTCAGGCATTCCACGACCTAAATCTGATGGTAGAGTACCTGAAAGCCTGTTTTCTGCAATTCCTAAGATCTGCAGTGCTGACATGTTAAAAATGCTTGCAGGGATAGAACCAGTCAACTCATTTGTGTCTAATGACAGAAACAGTAGTTTCTGAAGATAACCTAGTTCCATTGGTATCTCTCCTGTCAAGAGGGGGATATATATGAGTTGGCATGTCAGAACTTGAGAATGTAAAGATATGACACCTGAGCTTAGCTCAATCTTAAAAGCTAGCTCATTAGTGAGAACTGTCCGATTTCACATAAGCAGACCACCTATTAATTCCCAACAAATGTGGGCCTTTTAACCACTCTAACAACTGTTTCATTCCTAGGCCTAACTGGAGCGAAATCTAGGTCAGGCCGTCGCCCTATGGGCTACCGGTCAACGCTCCAGTTGAACCTGGTTGTGAAAGGGGTGTTAGAGTGGGTAAAAGTCCAACATTGTTTTTGAGGTTTAGTTAGGCTCACGTGTTATATAAAAACACTTCAGATGCTTAGTTGCACAACAATTACCTGAAAGCCTGTTTCTTGCAAATCCTAGGTTCTGCAGTTCTGACATGTTAGAAATGCTTGCTGGAATCTCTCCTATCAAGTGAGGAAAATACATGATTACTACCAATTTGGCGGAAGATAAAAATGAAAGAAATTTCAGATTTCGTGGATGTTAGTATCATAATACCTTCCAGATGCAGAGTTCCAAGGTATAAGCTTGTAAGTTCCGTTAAATTGCCTATCTCTGTTGGTACAGTTCCAGTGAGCTCATTTCTAGATAATGACAAGATTTGGAGCTTTCCGCATTTTCCTATGTTTGGTGGAATAACGCCATGTATGTAATTGGCTGAGAGGTGAAGCTCTTCCAAGTTTGGAAGATGGTCACATATAGTTGCTGGAAGCTTACCCGTAAGATTATTGTAGGTGAGACCAATCTTTTTCATTGTTGTAATGTTAAAGATTGATGGTGGTATAGAGCCAGTAAGCTGGTTATTTTCCAGATTGAACAAAGTCATGTGATGAAGATCACCGAGTTCTTGAGGGATCTCTCCTTTGAGAAAATTTTTGGACATATCCAACACTTGCAGCTGTGTTATGTTGGAAAGGGAAGATGGGATTTCCCCGAAAAATTGGTTGCTCGAAAGATGCACAATGCGAAGTTCTGGTAACAAACTTAGAAATGTTGGAATGGCACCAGTAAAGTTATTTCTTCTGACTGAGATCAGTTTCAACTCTTTTGGCAACTCTCCATGGAAAGTGTTGTTGTCGATTATAATGGAAACGAGAAATGAGAGGTTTCCAAGGTGTGGAGGAATGGTACCATGAAGTTGCATGCTAGAAATGTCTAAAGTTGTGACTCGATGATGGCGAGAGTTGCAAGTGATTCCAATCCAGGTGCAAACAGGACTGGAAGAAGACCAGTTGGTTGCTAAGATGTTGTTAGAACTAAAAGAAATGTGAGATTTCAAGGCAAGAAGAGCAGCTTCATCTGTACTAATATTTGGAACAGTAGACAAAGATGTATGGCCAAAAATTATCAGAACGAAAACTGCAAGAGCGAAGAGAAGATCACAACTTCTTCCCATAACTATATCTGAGAGGTTTCTCCTTTTCCTAAAACAAGAATTGGTGTGGCAACTCAATGTACACTAGTTAGTGTCTAGAGAGTTCAATGATTAAGACTTAAGTGTGTTAACTTTTAGTACTACAAGTTGACTTTGTGAGACTCGGTCAACGCTCATACAATAAAAGATATATCTAAAGGCAATAGATTGTCCTTTTAATGGAAAATTGAGTTAGTGTCATTGCATTCAGAGTGTTAAATATAGTGCACCCAGAGTGTTGGTTATACATATCATATTTATTATCATAGCTAAATATAACATAACTGTTAATTTATATTATTATTGTTAAATCTTTTATTTGTTGTAGTGTCACAGTATTTTCTATTTTCTAGTTTCTGTCACTTGCATCCCACCCACTACCCAATGAATAATTGTCAAGATAATTCTTTAAGAGCCCAAAAATTCAACAAGTGTAGACAGGAAGAAAATGTGAAAGTAAAATACACTTAAAATACTAGTACCAGATTTAATAGTAGAAGAAGAAGTCTAGAAAATTAGTTGCATTAAAATGATGGGAAATTCTTATATTTATAGACAACAAAAGGTAGTGTGAACAGAATGCACATAAGGTCACAACCCCTTTGAAAAGTTACAACCATTTTTTTATTGTTGATTTGGTTAAAATATATAGTTTTAACTAGTATATCATGCCAAAATGTCATAAAACTTGTTCTAGAAGAGATCGAGGAGACAATTAATTATGGATTAGAATTGTGAACTCCAGTAGCTAGAAAATCACCATTCCAGCTGGCACTGAAAGTGAAAGAGTACATAATATGAAGTAAATCCAAGAACAACTTGTGAGAGTACAGCCATTTATCAAGTGTCCCACTAGACATGTATTCTAACATTAAGGCTTTGATGACTTTGGTCAGATTTCACATTCTTCTGTATCAAAACTTTTGAATGCACCCTCCAATTGTACATTGTAGACCTTGCCATTACCAAGCAAGTTGCTTTTTTCGGTACTAAATCCTTCAGTTGCTTTTTTCGGTGGCGACTATTGACAAACTGGAGCCTGATATTTTGAAGTGTTGAAAGAGAATCTTCCATACTAATTCTTGCATCAGGTGTTGCTAAAGTACAGCTCAAAGCTAACTCTATAATAGACAACAGACACTGCATCTTTGCGTCAATTCGTTCATCCCCTAGGCTGTACCAAATTAGCATCCACCACCTTATGAATCTCATCTGGAAAAGAATCACTAACCCAACGTCGTATGCTCAACTCTCCAGTAAATCTTTCATCACCTGGTCTGATTCTTGTAAACGTCTCCATCAATCAGGATACCGAAACTATAAACATCGCAGCTTGTGGATACGATTCCATCTTGTCCATACTCTGCAATCATGGTTTAAAATGATCAAAAAAGCTTCCTATATCGGGGAAAAGAATTATGTTGTGGGTATTCTAAAAACACGAGGAAGCTGTAAAAGTTTCAACACCTGGAGCAATTATCCAATGGTTGCTATTGTCCTTGTTTGAACAAAACTCTCCCCTGCACCTAACAATTTTGCAATGCCAAAATCACTGACATGGCCAACCATGTCTTGATCAAGCAAGACACTTGGCTTCAAGTCACAATGCACCACTGGATTTGAACACCCATTGTGGAGATAGACCGTTGCATCAGTGTATATAAAATTTACTTTGATGAGCACGTGACTTCCAGAATTCCCAAAAGCTGGTTGAAACTTGACTATGTATGTATGATACCATTCAAATATTCTGTCAGTTAAAAACTTCTTACTTTGACACTACTGTCAGATTTTTAAATTTCTCCAAGTCGTAATCTATCAATCAGATTTTACCTTAAATAGCAGAATTGACCTAACGGCGATTATTGAAAAAAAATCAAATAGGAAGGGAAAACCGAGATAAATGCCAAACTTTCAGCTATGGATCACACATAAACTGAGAAAACAAACAAAATAGATGAAGGTGAGTGATAGCACATTCCAGCAGCTGGACACCCATACTGTTTATACTACTCAAACAGGACACCCGTATTTCACGGCGAGCTCGAAATTGTTAGCACAAAGAAATTGACATATCAATAGCGATTAAAGAAAGAAAACTGAGTCTTACCCTTAACTTAGTGATAAAGAAGATACATCCCTTAACTTAGTGATATAGAAGATGATACATAGCTATATATCCCCAATCATTTGGTTCATTGGACAATCTCAGCATACATAAAACAGAGATGCCAACTTACTTAATACTCAGAAGAGACTGAAAATGGACATGAATTCAAAACAAAGAAAAGAAAATACCAATATGCAGGCAGGCAGACAACAGTTCTTTCTTATATCTAAGCTTCGATGTTAACCTCCTTGATTCAACAGGGACAGAGCCATTTTTTAGAAATAAATTCATACATAAAAAAGGAGCATTTGAAAGCTTTCAGGAAGTTTATATGGAAAGTTATACAAAATCTACCATGCGTTTTAATCAACCAAAAAGCCAAATGCTTCACGAGAAAAACTTACTCTTATTAATGATGCACTAGTTCTCGACAAAGCACGTGAATATCACGAATATATATATTTCCCCTAACATCACTATTATGCATAAAACATTCAAATATTATCAAACTCATCATGTATAAATAGAAATTTTGTCAGTTAAATAACACTTGAAAGTTTAACACGAAAATAAAGAATTTTTCTTTTCATAACAATGCAAAATAATACATAATTACAAAATCTACCATGCGTTTTAATCACACAAAAAGCCAAATGAAAAACTTACTCTTATTAATACACTAGTTCTTCTAGACACGTGCCCCGAGGCCCCCCGCCCCCCTCGACCCTAAGGCAAGCGCGTGCCCCGAGGCCGCCCCCGCCCACCTCGACCCCGAGGCAAGAGCGTGCCCTAGGGCCGCCCCCCGCCCTCCAACGACCCCGAGGCACGCGCGTGCCCCGGGGCCGCCCCCCACGACCCGAAGGCAGGCCTTTGCCTCTTTGTACCCTGAGGCACTTGCATGCCTCGGGGCCGCCCCCTACCGTCGAGGCACGCGTGTTCCTCGGGTCCTCCCCCGCCCACACCTTGACCCCAAGACAGCCTCGGGTTCGCCCTACCCATGACCATGAGGCACGCGTGTTCCTCGGTGCCGCCCCCTGGCCCCCAACCCTGAGGCACATACAGTTCCTCGGCCCAACCCCCCGACCCTAAGGCATGCATGGTGCCTCTAGACCCCGACCCCAACCCTGTCCTCGCCCCGCCCTGACCCTACGTCCCGCCCACTCCCATTCCCCCTACCCCCATTCCCGTCGCCCGTCCCCCACCACGCCTACTTCTCGCCACCTGCCTCGATTTCTTGCCTGCCCTGCCCGAGGCCGAAATTGTTAATGATCACGACAGATTCGTAACAAAAAGAAGACCAGAACAAAAACTGAGTTGGGCAGTCAAACCTTTCACAATGAACCAAGGTCTTGTTTTATTCCTTTACTCTTGAAGATCCTTTGCATTTGGATTTGAGTAGCTTCACAAATTAATTAAGAAAAAGAAGATTAGAAAAGGTACACAAATCAAGGAACGAGCATAAGACTTCCCTAAGAAATTTCACACATTTAAAATGATCTGGGAAATTGGAAGGATTGTAATCTATGTTGAGCAATCAAACTCAAAAAAATCATCAAAAATCTTTGCTGATTGTGTTAGGTAAGGGATCAATGAATTAAAACAGAGCTAACCACCCCTATGCCTCTTTCAGATTCAAGCTTTGCAGATTAAAAAAATCTGATGCTATTAATGTGGACATCAAGAATGGGAAAAGTAGTACTCTCAGATAGCAATCTAAAGTATAATGATAAAAAGGTTTTGGGTGGATTGCAGGCCAATCAGCAATTGCATCAATGAGTTGTTGAAATTTTTTTGGGGAGGAAATTTTGAAGTAAAGCAAAATTCCAAATAGTAATAACAAGAGAGAGTTCACAATTTATTCAATCAAATTGATCAATCAACAAGGCCCCCACAACCCTAAGTCAGAGGTTATATGCACAAATTTTCAGACTGGGGAACAAGGAACAATAGTTAAAACATTAAGATACAAGAGATTTTCCATTCAGCGATCTCGGTGGTAAACACCCTTGCTGTGGCAGTGAGAAACTGCAATCTTGAAGTAAAACAAAATTCTCTATTTCAAGCTAAATGATTGACTCAACATGCAAGGCCAGATTTCTTTTTTTAATTCTTGTTTGCATACACTAAAGAGCAAAAGAGACCTAAACAAACCCCAAAATATCAACTTTACCTGAAAATCTAGCCAAACCATAGTTGTCTAAATATGTTGTACAGATGCATGTCTAGATTGATTTAGGTTATTTAGGAATTTCTGTTTTTACTGGAAATTACTCCCAAAAGAAGTTCTGCTTGTAGCGACATAATTTGAGCTGCTTGAGGCTGCTGGATTTTGTAACTACTGTATTCGGAATGAAATCGTACTTACTGATGGCAGAATATCTACTTTCACTGCTCTTCTTTTGTTCGGACATCTTGTATTTGGCTGTTCATATTCCGAAACAAGTTTTTGGAAGACCTTTTAGTTGTGTGTCTGCTTATATATCACTCATTCAATCAATCAATACATTCTAGCCAAACCATGCTAGAAATTAAGGTTTGACTGTGGCACTTCATCTCTTATGTTACAACAATAACATACGTAACTTCACAATTAGGATGTGGGAAACACAAACCTTATTCTACTACACATGGATTGTTTTGGAGGTCTTCAAAGCAGGGTTTCAAGAAACCATTATGACATAAAAATCAGATAATGTAACAAACAGATTGAAGAATAAAATTGCCTTTTATATGTGAGAATATCTACTAACTCTCTATTATGATTCTTGGCTTCATATCTTCTTATCTAAGCTTACATTAATCACTTGTCCGAAATTCTTTTTTAATCACTGTCAACCGTAACCTATACTTGCAGCTACTGTTCAAGTTTTTGATTCCCTACAAAAATTTCACTCCCTAATTAAGAGATCAAGATAGAAAATTATCTTCACAACAAACTTTTCTATCAGCCATATCGGTGGTAAACACCCTCTAGCAATTGCAAGTTATATGATCCATAAACTGATACAGCTAATTCCCAATTCTTACCAGTTGATTTCATGTAAATTATGCAAAGAACCCATCAATGAACTAAACCCCCAAACCCTAAGTCAGAGGAAAAAGTACCTGTGTCCTCCGGACGAAATTCAAGAAGCATACCAATGTATCTCCTCATTTTCCTCGATCACAACCACTTGTTTCGCAGCAATTTCACTCCTCACCACCTTCATCTTCGCCATTATTGTCTGCTGCATACACACACAAACACTTATTATTTTTTATCCAAAAAGAAGTAAAATTGAATGGGGAATTGGGAAATTCATTGAGAGGGGAATTGGGAACATCACCATTCTGATGGCGTTGTGGTGCACAAGAGAGAAATTCAGCCATGAAAACAGTTCACCCTTCAACTTTGTCATTTGTAACTGAAATACCCTCGTTATAAAAATGGCTCATATATGTCCTTATCGTTATACAAACGGCTCATATATACCCCTGCCATTACAAAATGTCTCACATATAACCTTCATTTAACCGAAGTTAAAAATTAGTTTTAAATTTATATTTATTACTTCTAATTTTTTTAAAAAAAATTATTTCGAAATATATATGATTTTCTATCAAAGTTCAAGGTATATTTTAACTTTTCATACATAAATTATTTTTTGACTTCTTTTATTATAATTATTCGAATTTCTTATTCTTGTTTTGTTTTTTTCTTTCATTCCTTAGTTTAAAGACTAAAAAATTAAACTATTTTTTTTGTGTATTGTAATTTAATTTCGTATTCGAAGAAAAAATTTGGCCATCTACAATAAGTTTTACAAGAATATTAGTGAAACATAAATAAATTTGATTACCAAAATAATAATTATAAATTAGTCATTGAAACAAAAAAAAGTCAAAAAAAAATATGTTTGACGAAGATTAAATTTAGTCATATGGGATTATATTTTTTAGAAAAAAATAATAAAAATTTAGATTAAAATTATTATTTTTTTTATTTCCGTTAGAGGAAAAGGGTATATGTGAGCTATTTGTTTTACAAGTAGGGGTATATATGATCCACTTTCATAACAAGGGGTATATCAGCTCTAAATGACAAAGTTGAGGGGTATATCAGACCCTTTTCCCTTTTTTCTTTCATTATAATATGTTTTTATTTCCCTCTACACGTTAATTTTTATTTTATTTTTTAAAAACTTTTCAGTTTTAATTATGGAATCTAATTTCTGTGACTACTTATTTTGAGATATTATCCTTTTAGAGCAAATTTAATAATACATTTTGTGTAAATTAATTAAGTTGAGTGAATTTGCTATTTTTTAAAAATTGACGGACATAAATTATACTTAAACGTATATTAAATTTAAATATTCTTTTAAAAAAATATTTGATCAAACATACATAACTCTAATTTTAACTTAAAATTTTTAAATAAAATAAATACCGTTCAATCTAAAATCTTATTTGTGTATTAATCGAGTGAAAGCTCTGAGCCACAAGTTCTAATAGATAGTGAAGAATGGAGCAGAATGAAAACCACAAGTGCAAAGAGAAGATTGCAATTTCTTCTCATAACTATAACAGATTGGTTTCTCTCTTTTTTTACTAAAACAAGAATTGATGAGGCAAATCAATAATCGTAGATGATTGATATCAAATTCATATACTGATATTATTAGTCTATGGAGTATATTTTGGTTTAGAGTGTCACTATCGAGTTCGACTTCTTCTAATGAATACTAGAAAATTAGCATTAGTGATCGATCCTATTTGAAAATGTCTTTTGTAATGATATGTGCAAGAAACTTCAACCTCAAATTAATTAAGTCTTGGTCTTTCTGATAAGTACTTGTGGCCTTGCATTTTGAGTACTGCCATTAATTTTTGGGTTAAGACTTAAAAAGTCTCGATAAGACTTTGATTACATAAACTCTTGGCACATTAGTCGACATGAAAAGTTTTGATAAAGAAATATGTTTTGTGTTTTGCCTAATCTTCTTCTTTTTTCCAAAGGAAATACATTGACTTTGTAGAAGGGGACGAATATATGAACGAAGAAATAATTTGTGAGGAAAAACTGAATTTGTTAGATAAGTTAATTGTGGCAATTAGTAAGAACAAGAAAATAGAATTCTAATGGATAAATATGTCCTTTAATATGGTTTCAGATTACGTATACACCCTCCAACTTTGGATCTACATAACTAGATACTTAAACTCGTATAAAATTGCACACATAATTAAACACAAATGTCCTACATGACATTCTACATGACATTTTGTGTCCTACGTGGTGTCTTACATGTATTATGTCACGTAGGACTCATGTGTCTACTTGTTAAATTTTATACAAGAGAAAGAGTGTTTTGTAATTGAAGAGCCTAACGATCAATTATTTTATTAGAATAATTTCAAAATGAATGACATGGCAGTATTTGATCTTTTTTTCTTTCTTTATAATATGTTTCAATTTCCCTCTTTACTTTTAAAAAAATCTTTTCAGTTTTAATCATGGAATTTAATCTATTACATTGTGTGACTATTTATTTTGAGATATTCTTCATTTAGAGCAGATTTAATAATATATTTTGTATAAATTAGTCAAGCAAAGTGAATTTGCTAGTTTTGTAAAAATTAATGGACATAATAAAATAAATTCAAATTTAAATATTTAATTAATTAAAAAATAGTCAAGCACAACTCTAATTTTAACTTAAACTTTTTAAATAAAATAAATAGTATCAAGAAATGTGTTCAAACTAAAAATAAATCTTATTATGTATTAATGTCATTGGGCCTAGAATATATTAAGTCAAGTCTCAAAGTCAACTGCTCTATTTTATGATCTTTAACTCTAAAATAATAGGGTTCTCAAATGCTGAGTCAAAATCTCACATTAATTGATGTGTGTTTATATAAAATTGTTCAATTTTTCTATCATGAGCTAATTTTTGTGATCGAGTTAGACTCAATTGTCATATTTTTATAATAGTAAATCACAAAACTAAATTTTGTGAATAAACTGTATATGTGTTAGAAAATATAAATGATGAGAAAGTCAAATTTATGATGTTGAAAATGACATCACGTCACCAAAATAAGTTAGATACATGGTTAAAATGAAGATATTCAAGAAAAGACGCATTTATCGCTAAATGCATTTCATATTGCATAATTTCAACTTTTTAAAATGTTCTCTTTTTCTATAAATGTACAGAATCAAGAGGACTAGATCCAATGACTGGTATATTTGACGCTGCAAATAAAATCGAGGAAGGTAATTTTGGGTCTATCTACAAGGTTCATCTCAATCTTACCTCTATCAAGATTTTATTAGGTTAATTAGCTACAACATCTGACATAGATAAATAAACATGGTACACTCTAGGACGGTGCAGTTATTGTTGTTGAGCAAGGGAAGCATTAGTTTGTAAATGAGGTAGGTATTATTTCTAAGTTTACAGCACCCAAATTTATATGGATGTCGAATAACTTCTTTTTTTGAATAAGTGATGATACTAAAATTTGAGTATTTTTAAAAAATATTATTTGAAACTTATACAAATATGGAAAAAAATCTGAATGCTATATTAAATTTATTATTTAATATTTTATATAGTTCGTGATAGAAATATCGATGTAACAAAGAAAAATTAATTGCTTGAAAAAAATTGCGGCGTATATGTGATTTTTCATCTCATGTGTATTGCCAAAATGATCTGATAATAACGTCATATTAACTCAATTCTGTAAAAGATGGATGTCAATGAGAAAGATCTGTTTAAACTTTTCATGCTCAATAAAACATTTGGGAATCTAAGTAGCTTAGTTGGCTGACTACCTCAACTTTCACCTTAATTTTTTACACTCAGTAAAACACAACAGTCTAATTCTACCTAGCAGAGACTATTTATTTTGAGATATAATTCATTTAGAGCAGATTTAGCGATATGCTTTGTGAAATTAAGTTTAGTGAAATTTGCTAGTTTTATAATATAAGTTAGTTTTATGGTCTGACATGTAAACTTTCTGATATGTCTCTCATAATCTCATTCATGTTTAAAGGAAACAAATATTAGTGATAGCCACAGTAGGGTTAATCCTATATGTCATAATATTCTTCAAAGACACCAAAACAAAAAAGAACACAAATTGAACATCTCTATGGGTCTACTCGACCTACAAAGCAGATGTCTTTTGAAGTTGTTGGCTTGTTGCATTAAAGATTGCTGCTGGGAAAAGCAATATGACATATAGCCTAATCCCTGATAAATGAGTAGCACGATTATTTCATCTAAAAGTTTCATTTTGTCTACAACATATGTGACATACCGAATATATGTGTCTTGCATTTTACCATGGAATTATGATGATTATCTTATGGTAGACCTGTCTGGAAACCTGTATGATCATCTTTAACTTTATGCCTTGCTTCTTACTCATTTCCTTTTTCTTCTCAGAAAGGTATTCACCAGTGCGATTTCGTTATGCTGGAAAAGGAACATTAATTCTGCCATCTCTTTAACACACCAAATTCTATTAATTTGGTGAACCTACCTACACATAATGAAATTATAATATTTGGATGAATTTTTAGAATTAACATATCTAATGGGATCGATGACTGAATTTTCTATACACTAAAATAGAAAATAACAAAAAATCACTTTATAGAACTTTCTTGGATATGATAAGAAAATTTTTTATTGTATTTCAAAATCACGCAAAGTAACCTCTTTTCTCAAAAAAGTGAGACTAAAATAGGAAATATAACTATTAATCATCTAATGTAAAGGATTTGACTTGATATAACAAAAACTAACTCTAAACTGAATGATCAAACATAAAAGGATTAATAATATTTATAGAATCCATTTTTTGTTCCAAAGACATATATACAGCTGCATGACTTAACAATCATTTTTATAACAGAGATGTCACTTCCAATCATGAAGAGCACTGGATACACATTGTAATTTGAGGGAACAAAACATTGTTCTAAAGTAAAAATGATGAAATCAAAATTACAAGACCTTATTTATGTACTAGGCTTTTAAAATAAATATCTCTCTCAAATTAGTGAAAAGGCCAGTTGGTTGTGTTATTGAAGTGACTGTCTTGTGTGTTCCAACCCTGAGTATATTCATTGGAATTTTGGTGGTCTCTTGACGATCAACTCTAAATTGTTTTGACCAATCCTGAAAAATATTGTTATCAAGACGAGACCAGTTAAATTGAGCATTACTAATTAATATTATTAATGATAATTTATGGAGAGTAAAAGAGAGAAATTAACGTGCCTATCTGATGATCCTTGATTGTTTTGATCAATTTCTTTTCAAAATGGTTGGTATCTTACAGTGTATATAAAAATAAAATCCTGTGTAAACAAGTTCATTAATTACAAGATTATAATTAATGATTTATAAACACAAATATATAAAATTAGTAACTATCTTTGAACAGAAAAGGAACTCAGACTTGTTATTCCGAAGGAGAAAGGGATGATTGTAGTTCTTAATTTTCTATGGAAAGACATATATAAATTTTTCCATTGTTGTCATACTTATATAGTGAACCACTTGTCATTTTAATTTATGTACATTTCATATTTGGATGATTTTTTTTATAGATATTATACACTAAAATAGGAAAAATAACTGACTGGATATGATAAAACTCTAACGGACACCTTTCTGTTTTTCAAAATTATGTAGAGTAACTTTTTTTCTAAATAAGTGAGAATTCTATATGATTTTCTGTAGATATTAAACACCAAAATCACTTAGTAGGATTTGACTTGATATGACAAAAATTCAATCGATACCTATCTGTATTTAAAAATTATGTCGTGTAACTTCTTTCCTCAAATAAGTGAAAGGATATACGTTTTGGTTTTAACTTACCTCCAACTTTTTTCCTTGAGATATTGGTCTTTGTTGTTCACTTTATTTTATGACAGGATCCTAATTCGAAGCACTACTGTATGGTTTTAGTAAAAAAAAATTCCCCTCTGGTATGCTTCAACTTCAATTTATTCAACACTGCTTTGTTTTGATCTGCTACGCACAATACCATCCTTCCAGATGCAGAGTTCCAGTGCCGTTAAATTGCCTATCTCTGTTGGTACAGTTCCAGTGAGCTCATTTCTAGAATAACGCCATATATGTATGTGAAGCACTTCCAAGTTTGGAAAAGAATTTCAGTAGGCAGGAAGAAAATGTACAAGTAAAACAAAGTCAAGATAATCCTAACGTATCTACTCTTTTATTCCCAAAGTGTAGTCCCGGGTCTGGGGATGATGAAGTGTACAGACACCTTACCTCTACCTAAATATTGGCACTCTAAACCAAAACACACTCTTGGTTAATCATAGTTTACAGAGGATTGTTTGTTATAACTCGATTAAAGTTAAGCTCGTACATTCTTGAGTAGAAAGCCCCATTTTTGAAAGTCGAATTATGAAAAAGAGATAAAGCACATAATAAATAAATAAACACAAAAATGATATATATGATTAAAGTTACTTTACCTGCACATTACATACAATCAGATTGTCTATTTACCTTGAAAGATGATTTAACTTCATTCTTAAAAGTTACTGGTCTTAATTGTAAATTCGAGAAGTGAAAAAACTGAATTCATCTTAAATATGTGATGCTTTGAAAGCGAAAGAGTAGATAATATGAAGTACAAAACTGATTTTATCTTAAATAGCAGAATTGACCTAGGTAATCAAGCATCAATCACTTGCGGATGGTCTAGTTCCATCTAGTGGCGACTATTGACAAACTGGAGCCTGATCTTTTCAAGTGTTGATAGAGAATCTTCCATACTAATTCTTGCATCAGGTGTCGCTAAAGTACAGCTCAAAGCTAACTCTATGACAGACAATAGACACTGCATCTTTGCGTCAATTCGTTCATCCCCTAGCTGTACCAAATTACCATCCACCACCTTCTGAATCTCATTTGGAAAAGAATCACTAACCCAACGTCGTATGCTCAAGTCTCCAGTGAATCTTTCATCACCTGGTCTGATTCTTGTAAACGTCTCCATCATCAGGATGCCGAAACTATAAACATCACAGCTCGTGGATACTATTCCATCTTGTCCATACTCTACAATCATGGTTGAAAATGATCAAAAAATATATGCTAAAACTGATCATATATATTGGGGGGAGGGGGAGGGGGAGGGGGAAGAGTTAATACAAGTTTCAATACCTGGAGCAATATATCCAATGGTTGCTATTGTCCTCGTTTGAACAAAAGTTTCCCCTGCGCCTAACAATTTTGCAATGCCAAAATCACTGACATGGCCAACCATGTCTTGATCTAGCAAGACATTGCTTGGCTTCAAGTCACAATGCACCACCGGATTCGAACACCCATTGTGGAGATAGACCATTGCAGATGCAACATCTATCATTATATCTAATCTTTGAAATAAATTCAAGAACAAGTTGTGAGAGTATAGCCATTTATCAAGTGTCCCATTGGACATGTATTCCAGCACTAAGGCTTTGAAATCAAGGTTGGAGCAACTGGTGATGACTTTGGTCAGATTTCGGTGGCGGAGGTTGCGCAACATCTCACATTCTGTATCAAAACTCTTGAATGCACCCTCCAATTGCACATTGAATACCTTTGCTGCTAAAAGAGTACCATCTTTAAGTATCCCTTTGTAGACCTTGCTGAAACTCCCGTTACCAAGCAAGTTGCTTTCACTGAATCCTTCAGTTGCTTGTTCAAGTTCATAATAGGAAATTCTTTCATGACATTTTATCAGAGACACATCAGCTTGACCTGCATTCTTTTTTTTCTTTCTCAATCTCAAAAATACATATGTGAAGGCTAATGCAAGAAATAGCATACCCACTCCCAAAACCAATATTGCCTTTTTTTTCTTTGACCTCTTGGGAGATTTGGTGACACATGGTGAAACATGAAACTTAGAATCACCACAGAGCCCATAATTGGACAAGAAAGATTGATCTGTGGCCTTTGCAAAAGGACCGCCCGTGGGAATTTCTCCACTGAGTTCATTAAATGAGAAGTTCAAGTATTTGAGATACACAAGAGCTTCTAATGACTTTGGGATTTCACCACTAAGACTGTTACTGGACAAATCCAAGTATTCCAAGGCCAGCATTTTGCCAAATGAATCTGGAATAGGCCCATCTAATTTATTATGTGCTAGAGAAAGTTTCATCAATCTATTCAGACCCTCTAGAGTTCTAGGAATCATACCAAGAAAATCATTTTTTGACAGATCAATAAGAGTTGCAGCCTTTAAATTTCCAATCTCAATAGGAATTTTGCCATGCAATAAATTGGATGAAAAATTGAACTCTATGAGATCAGTAAGGCTCCCCAAGCTTTCGGGTAAACTCGAATTAAGCATGTTATCTGCTATATAAAGATATCTCATACTGGTAACTTTTCCTAAGCAAGGTGGCACGCGACCAGAAAATTGATTACCTGACAAGTATAATGCTCCAAGTTTCTTTAAATTGCAGATAACATCTGGTATGATTCCTTCTATCTTGTTGCTCTCTAGGTAAAATTCTTGAAGGTTCAGCATGCCTTGGATAGTTTTTGGAATATGTCCAGTCAAATTATTTTGTGAAAAATTTATCCTTATCACCCCGGTAAGATTACCAATTTCTTGAGGAATGGAGCCTTTCAGTTTACAAGTCCATCCTTCGAAAATTTGCAGAGAATCAGAGAAATTTCGAACGGATGCAGGGAAAAAGCCTTCCAAGGGATTCTTAGCAAATTTGAGTTCTTTCAGTTTCCTACAGTGTGTCAAAGATGAGAGGAAGCTCAATGCTGAATCGCTGACAAAATTGTTCATCTGCAGGTTCAAAACCTCAAGGTTTTCTAAATTACCAAGTGATTGAGGAATTGGACCTGTGAAACTGTTGATTGAAAGATCAATCATACCGAGTCTTGAAGCATTTGAGATAGTAGCAGATATAAATCCACTCAGATGGTTGTTTGCACAAATCAATGTTTCTAGGCTGGGGATCCCACTGCCTAAATCTGCTGGTAGATTACCTGAAAACATGTTTTCGTCAAGTACGACTGCCCTCAGCGCTGACATGTTGAAAATGCTTGTGGGGATGGAACCAGTAAGCTTACATCCGGATAATGACAGAATCTGTAGTTTCTTAAGATTACCTAGCTCCACTGGTATCTCTCCTGTCAAGTGAAGAAATATATATATGAGTACTAAATTGAAAAAATTAAAATTTCTTGCTAGGAGATGTAATATACTACCTTTGAAGTGCAGCAATCCAAGGTATAATCCTGCAAGATTTGTTATGTTGCCTAACTCCCTCGGTATAGTTCCAGTGAACTTGTTTTCAGACAATGACAAGAATTTGAGCTTTTTGCATTTTTCAAAGTTTGGTGGAATGATGCCACCTAGGATGTTTTTTGAGAGGAAAAGCCCTTCCAAGTTTGGAAGATGGTCACATATAGTTGTTGGAAGCTCACCTGTAAGATTATTGTTGGAAAGAGCAATGATTCGCAGTGTTGTAATGTTATAAATTGATGGTGGTATAGAGCCAGTAAGATGGTTACTTTCCAGGTTTAAAGCAGTCATGTAATGAAGATCACCAAGTTCTCGAGGGATCTCTCCTTCGAGGAAATTTCCCGCTATTCTTAACACTTCCAGCTTTGTTAGATTGGAAAGGGAAGATGGGATTTTTCCTGAAAATTGATTGCTCCACAGGTGCAAAATACGAAGGTCTACTAGCAAACTTAAAAATGATGGAATGGCACCAGTAAAGTTATTGTTTGCGATATCAATCAATCTCAACCTCTGCAAATGAGCCAACTCTTGGGGCAAATTCCCATGAAATCTGTTTTTACCAATATTGAGAGAAACAAGAAATGAGAGGTTTCCAAGGTGTGGAGGAATGGTACCATGAAGCTGCATACTAGAAATGTCTAAAGCTGTGACTCGATGGTGTCGGGAGGTGCAAGTGATTCCAATCCAGGAGCAAACAGGGGTGGAAGAAGACCAGTTGGTTGCTAAGATGTTGTTAGGACTAAAAGAAATGTGAGATTTTAATTCAAGAAGAGCAGCTTCATCAGTACTAATATTAGGAACATTAGAGAGTGATATATCAAGCAGAATGAAAATCAAAAGAGCAAAGAGAGGATTGCAACTTCTTCCCATAACTATAACAGATTGGTTTCGAATTAATGGATGAGGGGGAAAAATGATCTTAGATTATGTGTATATACATCTTTCATTATTTTTAGTACTACAAGTTCATGCATTAGTGAGACTGAGTCAACAGTCCATTTCTTTGGCATTATCATATCCATGGAAATTCTCAAGTCATATTTCTTTGGCATATGTGGACTTCTCATATAGTCATATATTAGTCTATGGAGTATATTTTGGTTTAGAGTGTCAATTAACTTCAACCTCAAATTAAGTCTTGGTCTTTCTGCCATTAGTTTTTTTGGGTTAAGACTGTTTTGTAAGGAGGAAAAATGTTTTCCCAGAAAATATTTTCTTGGAAAACAATTGAATTTATAATTTATTTTCTCATGTTTGGTCGAGGAGTGAAAAATATTTTTTAATGTTTGGTTGGTGAATGAAAATTCACAAAATATCTTTTATTTTTGGCTTGAGACAGTAAGACTAAAAGATACTCTTTAGGAAAATAATGTATGATCCGAAAATTAAACCCGATAATTGATCTAGGACCCGATCCTGACACCCAAACTAGGACAAGACCCTGATAACCATCCAAAATCCCACCATGAGATTTGACCCAGGAAATTTTTTTTCAAAAAAAAGATTTGACGGGGTCGCACAGGCTTGCGGATAGGGATGGCATAAAAATGATTTTTTTTTAAAATTTGAAATATATTCAAAAATAATTTTTAAAATGAAAGAAATTCTTTTTTATGAGGTGGCTTACCGGAGTAGGGGGAGTCGGCATAAAAATGATTATTTTAAAAAAACAAATTGAAATATTTTCCAAAATAGTTGTTTCTTAGAAAAAATAAAAATTGACCGGACTGGCCTTTGGGGGGGGGGGAGGTGGTAAGTGGGGTGTAAAAAGTGGAAAAATTTAAATTTGAAATATTTTCAAAAATTAGTTTATTTTCCTAAAGAAATGACGGGGTGGTCGGGGAATTGGGGGTGGGGTGGGGGGTGGACCCGTTTGGGATGGGGGGGAGGGGAGAGGGGGGAGTGGCTTGAAAATTAAATTTGAAATATTTTTCAAAAGAATTTTTTTTGGGCGAGTAGGGAGTAGGGTTGGTAGGTAGGCAGGGGGGAGCTACCTTTGTACAACGGGTTCGTTCAACGGAAAATTATAATATTTTATGTATATATAGTAGATGTCGAATTTCCTTCAGCTACTCTTGTGTCTATTTCTACGAATTTTGAACCCCTTATTGAAAATACTAGCTCCACCACTGTTGATAGATGTTAGGTGAGGTAAAAAAAATTAAAATTTGAAACATTTTCTAAAATAATTTTTATTTTTTATTTTGTTTGAGGGTGGGGAGGGTGTGTGGTTTGATGGTAGAGATAAAAAATATATTTGAAATTTAAAAAGTAAGAAAATTTAAATATATTATTTTATTTTATTTTTGAATGGGGTGGGTCGGGTAAGAGATATGCTTAGGGTAAGAAAAAACAATTAAAGGATGAAGTAGAGTTTTGAAAAATGTATTCCTTAATTTTTGTATGGAAGTCATTTTCCTATGATCTAAAAAAATATTTTCCAAAATTTTTAACCCAATCAAACATAAAAAAAAATTGATATATTGCTTTATTTAATTTTTTTTTCATTTTGCATGCATACGATGACATATATATTTTATCCCCTTTTAATGGCTTGATCTATATAAATTTTATGCAATAACATAGGCAGTGACTGAGCTAGGATTTTTAATAAGAGGGTTTAAAATCTGAAGAAAAAAAATAGACACATGAAGTAGTTGAAGGGGTTTGACATCGACTATATATACCTAAAATATTAATTTAATTATATATAAATAATATATATTTTTGCCGAACCCCTAAACCTAAGGTGGCTCCGTCTTTGAACCAGACATGTTCCCAAAATGTTAAGAGTAGCTTACAATTTATGCATACAGACAGCTCTGGTGTCTCTATCATTAGTGGAAGAAATTCATTTCCACTTAACTGGTTGTGAGTTGTGTCTCTATCTTGAGTAGAAGAAATTCAATTCCACTTATTGACTAAAAGCTTTTGAAAACGTCAACCTGGAGATTGGAAATCCTATTCTTTGATGAAGCAAGTTCATTTCCCAAATTAAAATTAACAAACAAAAAGTTACCCCTATTTTTGAGAACATGTAACCTTTTAAAGACTTTTAAGTTCACTATGTAAAATGCTTTATGGATAAGAATTAGACTACTTGTAAACTCTAATTGTTAGAAAATCACCATTATTCTAGCTACCATATGTCTGTGATGTTTTGAAGTACAAAACTGAATTCATCTTAAATAGCGGAACTGACCTAGGTAGTCAAGCGGATGGTATCTAGTGGCGACTATGGAGCCTGATATTTTGAAGTGTTGAAAGAGAATCTTCCATACTAATTCTTGCATCTGGTGTTGCTAAAGTACAACTCAAAGCTAACTTTATAATAGACAACAGACGCTGCATCTTGATCTAGCAAGACATTGCTTGGCTTCAAGTCACAATGCACCACCGGATTTGAACACCCATTGTGGAGATAGACCGTTGCATCAGTGTATATAAAATTTACTTTGAAACTGAATTTATCTTAAATAGCAGAATTGACCTAATAGGAAGGGAGGATTGTAGTTCTTAATTTTCTATGGAAAGACATTTATAAAGTTTTCCATTGTTGTCTTACTTATATAGTGAATCACTTGTCATTTTAATTTTTGGATGACTTTTTTATAGATATGACAAAACTCCAACGGACACATCTCTGTATTTCAAAATTATGCAGAGTAACTTTTTTTCTAAATAAGTGAGAATTCTTTATGATTTTCTGTAGATATTAAACACCAAAATCACTTAGTAGGATTTGACAAAATTATTTCAAAATGTTTTCGTGTAACTTCTTTTCTCAAATAAGTGATGATACTAAAATTTGAGTTTTTTTTTAAATATTATTTGAAATTTATATAGACTTGGAAAAATTCTGAATGCTATATTAAATTTATTATTTAAAATTTTATATAGATCGTGATGGAAATATCCATGTAACAAATTAAAGAAAAATTATGCGCTTGAAAAAGATTGCGGCGTAAATATGATTTTTCATGTCATGTGTATTGCCAAGTTGATATGTTAATAACGTCCTATTTAACTTAATTCTGTAATAAATGGATGTCAACGAGAAACATTTGTTTTAACTTTTCACACTCAGTAAAGCATCGGGAATCTAAGTAGTTTAGTTGGCTGACTACCTCTAACTTTCACTTTAATTTTTCACACTTAGTAAAACGCAACAGTCTTTTTGATCTTTTTGAGTGTTGAAAGAGCATCTTCCATGCTAATTCTTGCATCAGGTGTCACTACAATGCAACTCAAAGCTAATTTCATGATAGATGACAAACACTGCATATTTGCATCGATGTTCTTGGTAATTAGGCCTTTGAATATAGTATGTAGCCTTTCTTTT